TGAAATTTTTATGGTGAGTTCTCTGACTCATGAACGATAGCGGAAAAATAAAAATCAAATGATTTTGATTTAAGAAAATTGATATTTGCTATAGTTGTAGATAGTCCTTAATACATACTATTTGTTTGTATCTTTTATTTTAATTATTCTATATTTCTTTTTCTTCTTCCATATTACCAAACCTATCATATAAATTATCAATGGCTATAGTTTTTATTTACTCGATGCACTCCTTTTAATACTTCTAGTTTTTTTGCCTCATAAATTCACTACCAAAGGTCTTATCAATGCATAATCCATTTTTGGAGTCTCGTAAAATTTTCATGACACTATTCTTAATAGAACTAATTATCTTTATCGCATTGTAGGATTGGCTAAACTAAATTTTTATAATTTGCCTTTTTTTATCAACTTCTCTTTGGACAATTTATTACTATTAATTCAACGGTCAATTAATCTTTTTATTAATTAATTTCTTCATACTCTTAAGATATACATTCATAATACTATACAATCAACATAACAATCTTTGCAATAGAAAAAATCACTGTGTTCATCTTCTCGCAATCTAGCCAATAGATATATATGTAAATTTTTAACTACAGCGATATTCTATGTTGTGTTCTAATATCTAAGTTTCTGATATCTGAAGCTTTCTTTTCTTTCAGACATGGTAAGCTCTCAGTTGCAGCTACACCGCTATGCGACTGGGCGTGAATCAAGGGTTGTCACTGCTCTTACCCTTTTGAAGTCACACTTGTTTAGGTAGATTTTTTTCGAACTGTACCTTTTTTTCTGATTAAATTTGCTGAAAATTCTTTAGAGATTTTATAGAATTTTGGTAAATGATTACTATGCCAGACTTTGTAAGCAGCTTTTTATTTTCATTCTTTCTGTGGCAGCTACCAAGGTTATGTTAGTGCTGCATTGGTCCTTGGTGGTGTTGACGTGACTGGACCGCATTTGCATACAGTGAGTGAATTTTTATTGGTACTTCTCTCTGTTAGTATAGATGTGATTCTTTGGTTGAATTTATTATGTAGGTCTATCCACATGGTTCGACTGATACTCTCCCATTCGCTACGATGGGTTCGGGTTCTTTAGCTGCAATGGCTGTTTTTGAATCGAAGTACAAAGAAGGTTTGACTGTAAGTCAACACTATGCACCGCAACTTGGCTTTTTTGCAGTATTATAAATAGCGTTTCTATACTATAGAGATCATATTAAAGTATATCCAGAGTATAGTTTGTTCTGTGGTCAAAGTGAATAAGTAACTTTGTTTAAATAATATACCATGCCACTTAACACGCTAGCATGCATGGGTCTCTCGCACACATTTGCAAGTGCATAAGCGGAGGACGAAATGAAAAGAAGTACCTACAGTGCTTGTTTCTGCAGGTTGGTATTTGTAAAGCTGAATTTTTGAAGGGTAAGGTTAGTATATTTACCATATCCGTTAGAACAGAATGTTTTGATAGGCGTGATGAATTGTTGTCAACAAATTTTTTGAATTGCATAAACTTAGGATTTGTTTCATATTTCTTTTGCGTTGAAAAGTCCAACAAAAATGAGAAAAATTGTTGACCAACAAATTATAATCTTTATGTCATTAGGTGAAGTGATTGGGAATGGGCCCCATACATCAGAATGAACACTTTCAAGTAGTTTTGAACTATTCTTGCTGGAACTAGGAAAAGATATCCCGCGGATTTTGGTTTGAGCACAAGATTGAAAATGCTACATTGTCGTGGAGGAGGTGAGACTTATTTGTAGCAATTAGAGACATGGATCAGGGGTGGCCATGTCGGCAATGCTTAAGTGTAAATTGGATGGAGTGGCGAGCAGAGCATTTTGGGAAGGGTTGCAGTGAGATGGAAAGGCAACATAAACTGGATAAAGTTTGCGACAATTGGGACCATGGAGTGGATTTTGGTGGCTCTAAAAATCCTTTGGTCCAATAGCTGATTACATCAAAGTGTATAGATTTCGTCATTAAGCAATTGTAAGTCAATTGTGATGGAGCTTGTTCTTGAGTTCAAGAAGACAACATATTGCTGGATTGTAGTCTTTGTTCGATGTTAGTCCGGATTTTAGTGCATGATTTAAGGGTTAGAACATTAGGTAAAAGGTTGAAAGATTGTGGAGTATAGGACAATGGTTTTGTTATTGTCGATTAACATTCAAATGTTGAAATGTGGGATGGGTGTGATGCTTTTGATGATTTGTTGAGCTGGTATGACCATTTCACCCATTTTGAGAGTGGGATGGGTGTGATGCTTTTGATGATTTGTTGAGCTGGTATGACCATTTCACCCATTTTGAGAGGAATGGAGTCGTCATTGTTGGGGTGTTCATCCTGCGGATGCCTAGAGAAGCAGGATCAAGAAGAGTTTTTGATGATGGTGGAGGGAGGGAGTTCTCTAGGACATCTTCTATAACTCCTTTAGGGTATGTTATTGAACGATTTGCTAACTGCAGAGTTACAATAGTGTGAAATGAGAGACATGGTGTTGAAATGAGAGACATGGTGTTGAAATGAGAGCCGAGTCAGTTAGAATCCAAAGGCTGAGGATGAGATTACTACATGAAGAATAACAGTATGGTGGTATGACAGAATAGTGGCTGCCGTAGCAGTTTTTGAGGGAGGGAAGGAGGGAGAGTATTAAATGATATGGTTTTTCATTCCATTTCATTGATAAAACAATACATGCTATTTATACAGGTAGAAGCACATGGGTGCCGAAATGTGAGCCGAGTCGATTAGAATCTGAGGGCTGAGATTACACCATGAAGAATAACGGTATGGTTGAAGCAGAGAATAGTGGCTGCGGTAGCAATTTTTGTAGTAATGATTTGCTCTAGTAGATAGTGGGGAAGAGCTCAGCCGGTCCAGTTTTGGGGGTTTTGTGTGAAAATTGCACCGATAGCTGATCAATATAGGAGTCTGTTTCGTTGTTTAAGTTCATCTATTAAAGAAACGTTTAAACCCTAAACATGAATGAAAATATCAATGCTAGTGATAACCTTTAATCAAAAGAATATGAGAAAATTTGCAGACGTAGACTTACTTTTCACATTAAATGTAGTAGAATTAACATAGAGCTTTAAATAACAACCGGGTCCACCGACAAGAAGCTCCTGAAAAATGTAAGATGGAAAAAAAATCAATAAAATCTTTAATAATTTTCATCTAAACAAGTAAGTATTAGGGCCGGCAAGAAGGGAGATTTCACTCATGATTTAGTTATCAGTATGGAATAAGAGGTGTTTTGTTTTAATAGGTGGAGCTCAACTTGAGTATTCAGTTCAGGTTTTCTACTCTAGATAATAGTTGAAGATTTAGGCTACCCTAATTCTAATAAATGGGTTTGTTGAAGTGCTGCAAAAAATATTGCATTTAAATTTTATTTCAACAGCATGATTAGAAATGACAGCAGTAGTAAATCAAAAATACGAGCTAAAAAGAATTGCATCAGTTTGCTACTATATATCATACTGTTTGTATGAGATTGCTAAAATTATTTATATGAATTAACAATGAAACAAGTTATCAACAGCAACAGCAACAACAACAAGCCTTTATCTCACTATGTGGGGTCGGCTACATGAATCCTTTTTCTTTATTGTGTCCTAATAGTGTCATATTTTTAGTTTAATTCTAATAAATTAAGATTATTTTTTATACGACAAGCCCCAATTCTTTTTATGATATCTACTAATTCCTTTAATTTACTTGTGAGAGTGCCTATATTCCAAGATCCGATCTTAATATTAGTTTCATGTACTAACTTCTTTGCCTGTATCCGTTCTTAATGTGGTAACCCTTCTTTATTTAACACTACACCTAGACACTGGTGTAGCGGCCCTTCTATATTTTTCACTATATTCAGGTCATACAACACGTTGCTTTTAGGGGACGTCCTAGCATTTACACAATAATTTAAAGAATTTATGTCATTATATTTTTCACAAAAAAGTTATGCTGGTTATCGACTACCTAGCATAACTCTCCACTTTTCGCATCCATGGCTTGGGACCCTGATTAAAAATGTTAAATTTAGCAATAAAACAAGTTGTCAATGGAAAAAAAATATAGAAGACTAAGAACTTTACCTCACCATGAAATAAAGATATGATAGATTAGCTCTGAAGGATTTGGAAAATCATCAATATGTGACGAAAAAAATTTGAATTATAAATTCTAGATTCCCATTTTCTCTATGCGGAAAATGAGAATATCGTGAGTTAAATTTAGCTCAATATGACACTTGGGTAGCGAGGCAGCTTTTTCTATTTTGTATGATAATGTTTTTTTATCTTATGAAAAACAATTATATACAACTGTCTAGGTTGTTGTTTTATTAATGATGAGTTTTTTTCTTATAATTTGGTGGAAATTTCTTGTAGTTTAAAAGTTATCTTGTATCCTGTACATGTTTAGCTCATGCAATCTTTAGCTTAATATTTTACATTAATTGAGGGATAAAAAATTTATAATAACATTTATGCCTGATACAACAACAACTACAGCATGCTTTTAGCCTAGTAAATGGGGTCGGCTGCACAAATTTTTTTTCTTCGTTGTGTCCTATTGAGTGTCATGATTTCATTTAATTCTAATAAATTAAGATCATTTTATATACAACAAGCCCAAATCTTTTAAGGTTTACCTCTACCTTTTTTAACATAAGTCAATCTAAAACATCAACTTTGTTAACTAGGTCATCAGTTGGTCGATGTTTAATATGACCAAATTTTCTAAGGTGACTCATTATGTTTTTGTTTTTAACTGCAACTGCTCCAACCCTTTCACAGATATATTTGTTTCACATTTTGTCTTTAAGTGTAAGTCCACTCATCCACCCGAGCAGTCTTATCTCATCAACACTTAATTTTATGCTTCCCTTTTACAGGCCAATAATACCTGAAAGTTAGGTAAAATTAAATGGTGTCATTATTAAGTTTAACAACTATAGATAGGTTTTAAAGGGAAAACAATTACTTGTTTAGAAAAAAAAAGTAATTAGAGTGCATGTTTATCAAAATTCAAAAAAGCAAATTATAAATAATTATGTTCACTAAACGGTAGAGCTGTTTAACATTTAAATTTCTCCATACCAAATTCTTCTTGTAAAAACAAAGGAATCATTCTATTTCTCACTATGGTCAGAAAATGGAATAGATAAGGTCTGCTACTTTGATCAAACAATTATGAAAAATAACATCAAAATAATTAGAAGGATAAACCTTATAGAGTATTGCTGCACTTTTAGAATGATTATTACAACTGAACATTGCTAAAGTAGGCATGAGAACACAGAACATGAGAGGAAAAAGATGAATATAGAGAGAAATTAAAATGATTTGTGAGAACAATAAACCACTTTAGGAGGTGTTTGATAGCTGGATTTAAGCAAGATTTACGTTAATTTTACCGTAAATCTAGCTGAACAAAAAATTCCAAGAATTTAAATCCTAAAATTCTCTTTCGTTAAACTTTTAATCTAAATCTGAATTTATTAAATCCGATTATCATGTGGACTTGATGGAAAACCAGAGGGGTGGATTTATGCAAACAGGATAAAAAATTTTAATGGATTTAACCTTAAATTGAACCATACACTGTTCTGCATTTGGATATGATAAATTCGGATTTATCAGATTTACTAAATCCTATTTAACTTGAATCATAGTTGTGGCCAAACACCATCTTAATCAAACTGCCATTGGAAATTGAAAACAAAGGAGTTATGCTGCGATTAAACATGCATGAAAATAGTTGTTGATTTAGCCTACCTACTCTTATTTAAGAACAAAATAAATTGGAGAAATGAACCTGTATGGAAAATTTTCCATATGTTTTGTAGAAAATGTTTCCGCCTTGGAAAAGTGCCGAAGCTGAGCATAAGTGCCACATAAGAATAAGAAAATGAAGTTCTAAGAGTGAGCTTAAGCTGAGATGAAAATAGGAAGAGGATAATCTTGAACGAAAGAATAAAGTAATTGAACATATTAATTGAACCTAAGAGAATATTCTTGCAAATTGACCTGCAGAAAAATCTTCATCCAGAAAACCTGTAGTCACAGTGGATGGAGGAGAAATGCAAGGAGAGAGAATATAGATGGATATAAAAATACAGAGGGAAC